TACTCTTCCGCACGCAGCTTTAGTTGATTATATCGTAAGTATCGTAGTCGTTCGCCCTCAATCTTCGCGTACATGTCGACCATGAATTGTTGACAAAGCTCACGACATCGTAGAATGACGTTGTCCAGGCCGCGTCTAATCATTAATCGGTACGCATAATAATCCTTTGAGCTAACGTTCTTGTTTGTTTCAGCTCCTGTAATAATATATTCATAAAAATTAATTTAAATTAATTACGTTCAATAATTTAATTGTTTTGTTAAATGATTAATGATCAAATTCATAATCAATGAAGTACCTGATACGGGATCTCGTTGTTTTATGTCTATGCAATATCCGTCTTGTCCCTTCCAGAATATTAGCGGATATTGGAGAGCGTCATATGAACGATGTGTATCAGCAATGAACTGAAGATTATTATTTCTTCTACGAATCACAATTTCTCGTGCACCTGTACGATCGCCAACCATGATTCCAGCAACATCATCAACAACGGGTGCATTGAATCTACAAATATGCTCTCCAGCTGGTGTTTTATCAGGATTAATGACGATAGCGTGATTATCGCTTTGTAATTTGTGCATGTGTGATTTGAATATTTTCAACAATTCGTTGTGCTCATTCAATAGAGCATCCAGCTCGCTGACGATGCGTCTGGCATAAAATGAATCAAGGTTATTATAATCACAACGTGCATTCACGCGATTGGCAAGTGCGCTTCCGGAATCCTCGCCGCCCATGAAGTAGATTTGTAAAAATGTATGTGGTTCGTTTGGCATTGGCAGCAGTGAGCCCATTTTATGATAAACTTGGCCTCTGATTTTGAATGTAGAATTGTATTGTTGACCATTTGCATTAGTATTTCGAACTATTTCTGTTGCTCCGAACGATGTCATTTGAAAGCATGAATTGAATGTTCGAATTGACTTCAGGAACACGTTAGAATCTGGATCCGTGCCGATAAGTAAACCGTTCAATGGTTCAGATGGTGTTTCAATTTCAGGTAGTTGCACTTTTCCTGACGCGCAACACATCCCAGCTGGCTCATTTTTGAATTTCAGAGCATGACAATGCGGACATTCCTTGTCCATAGCACCAATTACCACTTTTGAATGAGCATAATATTCAATATCGGGCTCATACTGGAATGCTAGACGCAGGAATGAATCAGATGTAAATGCTCGATGTACCTGTTGTCGTTGTTGGTCATTTGTTCTGCGTCTATTGACTGTGAAACGGCGTGATTGTCGTTGTTCTAATCTTATTACTTCATTGCGTTCAGCTCGTGTGTCTTCTGACTCTTCTTGACGCAATTGTGCCATTCTGACACCTGCATCAGTATTTTGTTGCTGGATTTGTTCTTCGGTTCTTTCGGATCTTCTATTTCGCAAGCTTCGAGATTTACTTGTATTACGGTTCAAATCAGCCCCTTTGCGTTTTGTTGGCATTGAAATATGTGCAAAACACACGTACATAGGTTAGGTTAGGTTAGCAAAATTAGCCAAATCGGCCCAGCCGTTCTCAATTGTTATTTGCACGCGGTTGCCACGGAAACCAATAATAAAAAATAACCACATAGAGTGTATATTATCTCTCCAAGGCAAAATAATAATTGTTGAATATCGTACGTGCTAGTATACTTTGACTTAAGAGGCCATAACTCCGGAACCACTTATCACAGAGCATACAAACTTAGATAGTAGCCGATTCTCATACCTACTGAATATGCATATAAAATTTCATGAGAATCGATCAAGCCGTCTCGGAGGAGTATGGGAACGAACATTGTGACATGATAATTTTATATATAAGATAATGTTTACACATAGTTATTTATTTGTAAGTGAATTTAAATTTGTTTACTCATAAACATATTATTTGCGGGTTTATATAGATTTTTTATAATAAAATTATTATGACACCTTCTTGAGTTTAATTTTATGATGTCAAAAAACTGTTCTTTATGGGTAAAAATATAGTCTACTTGAATTTTTTAAATTAAATTTTAAAAAACTGAGTTAACTAATTGTCACATATTTCTAAATTTACACTAAAAAAGCTATCCTAGGATGATGGAGACGGGTAGTAGTATGAAAATGAAAGTTCTAACTCATGAGCATGAGCCATGTGCCACCACCCAAAGCCGGTTCTAAACCATGAGCATGTGCCACCCCCCCTTTTTTTTTCAAATTAATTTTTTTTTCTTATTCATCCATCAAGTAGACGACCTAACCTAACCTAACCCTCCCTACGATGACTTTTTATTTATTTATTTTTTTATTTTTTCGTATTATTATTTTTTTTTCTTCTAAATCCTTTCTATGTACCTATATGTGGATCGCTGATGCGAAGTCGTCGCCGCCCGCCGCTACCCCTACCCGCCACCGCGAGGTACCTATACGTGGACCTACCCACCACTATATATACATACAAATAATATACCTATACTATTCCTATATACCTAAACACAAATACACACATACCCGCCGTCGCGAAAATATTAGTAATCGTAGTACCGATAAATAATAATTCTGTATACACGAAATTATATATTTTATAAAAATACTTATATGTATAGTTGATACCGTCGGCGAAAGAATATTATTTATTTTTTTATTTTTTCATATTATTATTTTTTTTTCGTCGTCACTATAGGTACATACAAATATTATAAGTATTACCTATTACCATTATAATACGATGTGTCGTNTATAAGTATAAAATTTATGTCGCCGTAGTACATCGGTCGTCAAAAGTCATTAGATACTAATAGACTATCGCCCAAACTGTTATCAACCAATATTCAGTTCCCTCGCCTTTAATAGCATTCCAAATACTTCGATCGTGTATAACGAGTGTTGTACATCTGTCGTCAAAATAAAATAATATTAAATAATAATATTACTTATGTATACCCAACGATAGATATAGTTAACCTATACACTACATAATTATTATCGAGTACGTAAAAAGAAAATCGTTTCCGAACAACTCTGATCGCATATAACGACTAAGTGTTATATATCGGTCGTTAAAAATCATTCTAAACGAAAAGCTAGCGAAGCAATTTTAACTCGACAAAGCAAAATTATAAGAAAAACATAACCGACAAATTTAAGTACAGTCCACATTCTGTTAAATAAATCGTTTATGTGTATCATAACTGAAGACAATTAAAATTGTATGAATTATTGCACAGAATTTTTTTTTGATGGCACATTTCAGTTCACACCTAAGTTTTTTATGCGAATACACCTGTTCATTATTTTAAAAATGGCTTTTATTTACCAGTTATTATTTTTTTTTTTGAAAGATAAATTTAAGCTAACATACATCGAAATATGAAAATGTATAAAAGAATTATATTTATAAATTACATATCGACTTCGAAATAGGAGCACATGAAGCTATGAAAGAAGTTTTCCCAAATTTACAACTAATTGGATGCCGTTTCCATTCAAGTCAATCTTGGTGACGTTATGTAAGTATTTAATAAATAACTAACTCATGTAGGTTAAATAAAATACTTGCATAGTTACAATATAACAATTTTTACATAGATAAACGAAAATAAAAAATTGAGGACAGCATATTCGGATAATAAGAAGGTATTATAGGAATGGTTAAAAATGTTATTTGGTTTACCATTTCTGCCCTATCAAAAATAGTCGAAGACGGTTTTGTTGAATTAGTAAGCGATTTTCCGGATAAAGATAGCCTAGAATTTTCAGACTATATATTAAATAACTATATACAACCAAATTGTATATTGCCTACTAATATATGAGTTGGAGAACCTTCTATAAATGAAAGGTAACTTATTTTTATAAATGTATACATGTCAAAGTATTCTTGTACAATAACTTTAAAGTTTATGTTCTGATACATAAAAAAACTGTTATCAAATAATTAGATTATTATTAATTAAATAATTTTTACTTATTTTAATGTCAGAACAACAAATGGTCCAGAGAATTTCCACAGAACTATTAACGCTCAATTCTATAGTGCACATCCACATCCATATACTTTTTCATTGAGTCATTGAAAGAAAGGCAGGCAGAAACCAATGTAAAAATATCCACTATTCAGAAAAATATATCCAAAGGTATTCTAACTAAAGATGTACAAAAAATGAATCATATTATAAAACTACACAAACAATTTAAATTAGATGGTAATATTTTTTATCGAGGGCTGGTTACCAATACCAAGGTTTTGATTTATAACTTACTTTAAAATTTATTTAAAATTTAACTACTTTAAAATATTTCAATAGTTTTGATTTAAAATATTTAATTTTAAATTAAATTATAATAAATACTACATTATTAATAATATATTGGTTTTCATTCACTATAAACTATTGTATATCTTTGCTAGTTTAGTGGTCGGTGGCTGATTAGCTCGTGCCAACAACACTATTTCCCTGTAATGGTATCAGAAGGTTTTTGCAAAAATAAATTAACAATTTATGTCCGAATAAACGCGTCCGTTAAATACAGTCGCGGTCGTGTGCGTGGACTGTATATGCTGTCGAGGCGACCGATAAGGGCGAGTTATTAATATTTTGTACATTTGAAGGGCATGAATAGGGAAATACAATTCAAATGTACGCACAAACGACGGTTGACAATGGCCAGACAAAATATAGCATATAACGTATATTGGTACAATCACGATGAGTACAGATAGTTAGGAACTATATAATGTAAATATTAACTGATAAATATTTCATGTGATAGTGTGGAATCTATGTTAACCAATGTTATAAATTGTATAGTAAATAAACAGAGTAGCGCATGCTGGCAACGTTGCACTAATTTTTGTACGCAATCGTAATATTTTTAAGGGCCAGGTATAGAAATCGTACACAATTGTGTATCACCGCCTCGCTCCACTCAGAATCTAAAATATAACCTTGAACCTGTTATGAATTATAAAAATAAGGAATTGTTTAAACGTCTTCAGAAATATCCATACCTAATGTACCTAATAAATTAATGATTCTATAAAATATCATATTGTACATTTGAACCTACCTACTAAGTATGTGTCATAATAGATATCTATAGACTAGACATTAGACATAAGCTATAATAATAATAATATGATACAATATTTTAATACAATACTTTGGGAAAGATTCATTTTATTGCATAAAAATGTTCATAACAAATCAAATAACGGTGATTGTAATTTTGTGAATATTTACGTCCAAAAAATATATATTGAATTGATCGTTTTTATTTAAACGTTCGTTACCTATATACGTATACGTATCTATTTGATCCATTATTTTAAGTTACAATCTAAGAGTAACTTTTACGTATAGACAAATGTTGCTTTAGTTATTCGTAATACGTAAATCGTAAAGTACATAATGCATAAAGTACAGAACAATATAATCGTATGGTTTACGATTTAGGTAAATCTACAAATAAGTCGGCAACGATATACGATATCAATGCAAACATGGCGGTATTCAAATCTAACGAATCTGGATCTTCAACGGCCATTGTGTCTGCTTCCGTATGATGATACCAAAAATATTTTTCGTTTCTGTTCAACAAACTCGCACCGGGTATATTTATATTTTCGAATACTTCGATGTCCGAACCAACGTTTTCTTTACTAAGCACCATTTTAGTAGCGTTGATTGATTCAAATAATCTGAAATAATAAAATTAAATAGTAGGTAAATTATATTACTTACTACGTAATTATGTATATAATCAAATTTCTTATTTTTAAACCACCTATCTGAGAGTTAGACACTGATTACTCTATAATATCTAAACACAAAATATTTTATATAAAATACATAATTATTAATTATAAATGTATAAAATATTTCGTTATAACAATAAAACACAAATTTACCCAGCGATTTCATTCATGATGCAAGCTGCATTTTTGGAACCATGAAATTCTATTCCGTACGGTTGAAACGTCCCTTCGTCCGACTCGATGACCAAATTAAATTTGTCAAGTTCTGATTTGTGGCCTTTCAAATATGCCTGCGCTCCTATAAGGCCTTCTTCTTCGGCAGTCCACAATAAACATCTACGAACCCATTGGTAGAAATCATTAGTTAGTAATTTACATATTATATATAAAAACAAACGTATATACACTTCCCACAATGGGCGGATTACTATTGTAGGTGAGAAGTTGATAAAATATAATGAGGGATAATGTAATGTATATGTGTAAAGATTAATTATTGCTAAAAAAAAAAAACGATTCTGAGCGGAGTTCAGTCGGTTAAATCATTGAACTGTACAACTGTTTGTACAATTCAATATCCGATCAAAGCATCGATATTATATGTGCCATAAAATAATAATTGTATCACTAGTAATTATTACTAATGGTAATAATTATTATTAATTACTGCCTGTTAAAATAATGAAATAATATTTTCCATTTTATACTTAAATATACAGTTCAAAGGACACTTTGTGACCTTTGTATGCACACCGTGTTTACCAAACGTATATATTATAATTATATTATTACCGTATGGTTCTTCTGGGTCGAAGCCCGAGATTTTTCAGTACAACCAGACTGTTCCAGCTGATAAACGCGCCTCCTCCGTCGTCCATTGCACCTTGGCCCACGTCCCAACTGTCCAGGTGACCCGAAACCAACACAATTTTTTCGGGATGGGTGGTGCCCTTGATTTCGGCTACCGTGTTCCTGGATTTGGCGTTGGGGAAAAACTTAGAGTCCATCTTCAACAGAATTTCCAACTCAATGCCTATAATATGAAAACACACGCGGTACAATCAGTCATACGTAACTTAGACCATCACGTGGAAATATTATAAACAAAATAATAAATAATCGCAAATGTTTTCTTTTAATCGATTAAACAAAATGAGAACAACAATGTATGGAATCATTTTTAACAAAATTAACAAACTGTTGAAAGCTAATACTTCGAATGATTACATTTCACGGAATAGTATAGTTTTGAATATCTGTACCGTAAAAATATGAGAATTTCAATTAAACATCTGTTCAAACTTTCAGAATATTACAATTCAAACAATTGTCTTTTCCATCTAACATATTTCCCTTAAACATAATTTCACTACATAATATTCCAATAATGATTTTCTCAGACATATTGTATATTTATTTGATTCCATAAACCGTCTACGTTCTACATAAGCCAACATATTGCTCTTTTTCACTACATATTTTGGATTCATTCCAACACCATTCGCAGGTTGACGTCATCTTACAGATTTCGCTAAATGTGCATGCGCGTTAAATCAACAACCGGCAGTGAATTGCTCCAGGAGAATCACACGAAGCCGATCTCGTGAAGAGAAACTTTGAAACTATAACGTAATGAAATCAAATGTCAGGCCATAACATTTTTCTCGCTCGTGTCACATTGGGTTAGGTGCTCGTTCAACACGTGCCTGTGCGTTATGCGGGGCTTGCATTTAATTCGCGCCAACCTTTTTTATTTACTTACGCGAAAAACGGTTTTGAGCGGTAACCGCGAAATTTTAAATTTTTACGAAAAAAAAAACGATATCTCGCCGCGCGCGTTCACCTCGTCTATACATTCGGTCCAAGAGCTCAGCGTCCTCGACGGTGATGCAGGCCACCGGTATTGGCCGGACGCCGTCACTGTAGCGCTGCTGGCCGGCATGAGGCGTGTTCAACGAGAACGGCGTGATAGACCGGATCAACGCGGCCACGGCCCCGTACTTTGACGCCGCGCTGGCTCCTCTCGACCTGTACACGACCGTCTCGCCGTACGACACGTACGGTTGGTTGTACACGACGATCTTGCCTTTGACCTTTGCGGAAAGAACGTGGTTTTAGAAAAAAAAAAAAAAACCAAAACAAACCGTGTGTTGTACCGCGCACGAGAGACGCAGAGATAGACATATTTCGGAACACGATTTTCAAAAAATACCTATGTGCATATTATATTACGGTTGACCGTGGATTATCTGAAACCGCTGCGGTCGTTCGCGTGTGCGCCGTTGTAATAATATTTTTTCAGTCACCTGTGACGATTTATTGGCCAGGTCGTCGAACGAAGTGACCACCACCACGCCGGCCTTGATCCCTTCCGAGGACGTATTGACGCTGCCGCCTAGTCCCAACATCGCGAGGTTCTTGACTCTTGGACGGACCAACCAAGCGGATTCGTTAGATCTGAAAAAAAAACCCAGCATTTTAGAATTATTCCTTATTCATATAATATTATACAATATAATGACGGTGAGGTGTCGGATGCGTATATTACAGGACACTGGTACACTGATTATACATCAACGAAAACGCGTTATTTTCGTGTTATTTCGTCGACTGATGATAACTATGTCGAGTTATCGTGATCTACATTAACTTACCAGGACCGATTATCGGGAGTTCTAATTTCTAGAAAATAGGCGTGAAAACGATTATTATACAATAAAATAACAAGTTATGCGATAAGGAATACAAATCAGCACGGTAATCCTTTACCTTCTATTGAATCTAATTGAAAACTTGCGATAAATCGATTTCGTTTTACAATCGTGGTTCATCGTTAAGCCTTCGAAAACCAGGTATACTGCTCAGAGACACCACGTGATTAAAATATATTTTCCGATACTTAAACACATCTACAGACTACAATATAGAATTACAGATATTCAACAAAAAACTGTTTTGACGTTTTAAAAATTATAGGTTTACAATGATAGATTTTCGTGGTTTTAACACTTGTATGTAACTTGTTACACTTATCACGAAGAAATTATAATGATTCATGGCGATCGAGAAAATATTTTTAAAAAAAATGATCAGCTACGGCCCATGTGATACATAATACAATATTTGTAATAATTGCGTTGTTCTTATTAAGTATGGCTATACCTGTAATGCCATGGATACAAAAGTGGATTAATTTAAATATAATAATCCAACCAGGTGATGGATGTTAATATTACCCCGATTATTATACACTTTGGGTACAGGTATATCATACTTCTTATAATCTTATGATAACTCGAATTATTATTAATTATTCAATTGCGGATGGGGGAGGTAAAGAACCCCTTAATCCCCGACCACCGTAAATACGACAGTGGGTGTTCTAAAAATATGATTATACGGTGCAGACATCATAATAGATACATTTCATAAAATATTACGGCATTTTTATAGGCCTACATTACCTTCTATATCTATATTATATAAGTATATCGTCGCTATAGTGAAAAAAACATATTATTTTATTCATATTTGTATGAACATATAGTGTCAAAATGATATTGTAAATAGTTAATGAACCACTTAACTAATTATTGATAAATTTTTTTTTCGGTCAAAATTTAATTTCAAACCTTGAAAAAAATACTATGCATTTTTTTTTTTTTTTTAATCACTATGAGTGCGATTTTCAATGAACCTCCTATCAAATTTTCAAGCATTTATCTAACAATTTTAGCAAACAGTACCAACCAAATAAAAATTACGTATAAAACTCGGAAAAATAAATGTTCATAAAGAGCTCAGAAATGGTTTAAATTTTTGAAAATTTTACCATACCTATAAAAGGCAACTATAAGGTTTTTGTCCAAATTTCAAGTATCTACGAATATTTTTAACTTAATTACAAAAAATAATAAAAGCATCATTTTCGTAAATTTCCCGTTTTTATTACGTTTTATTCTGGTTTTTCCAAGATATTATGAAAACCGCTTGGAAAATCAAAAAGTATCCTCTTAAAAGTACCATCTGGATAATATTTCCTTTCGGAAATGGTACCGCGCGTAAATATCGGAGCAAGATTTCTGGTAGAATTTTTGAACATAGTAAAAATATAAGAAAAAAAAATAAACATCTTTGTAAAACAAATACATTCTTCGCTACACTCAGAATCTAAAAACAAAATTTGAAATAATAAAAGAATAGTTTCGTAAATTTTTCCGTTTTCTACGTATTCTTCGTTTTTGATCAATTGTTAATAAAACTACATAGAAAATCAAAAAACTACTTTTTTACTCCCCAAATAGGTTAAAAATGCAACATAATAAAATTCTTGTTTTTTTTTTTCTATGGAGCAATATTTTCCGTACAAAAAATGAGCAAAAATGAGCGAAAAATGAACAAATTTTAAATAGGTAGTGCCGTTAGTATTTATCAGTTTTTATTTTGGTCATTTTCCGGTTTCTCGTAATTATAATTACGAAAACTACCACAAAAAAAAAAAAAAAAAATTAAAAAACTAATTACATTATCATGAGCTGGATTAAAAGTGCAACAAAAAATTTCGTTTTTCTATTGGAGCAATATTTATGTTAGAAAACATTAGCCGTGAAAACTTTTTAACGATAAAATCATTGCGCCGTTATTAAAAGATTTTTTTTTTATGACTATTTTCAATTATTATGAAAACCCCGTGGAAAATTTAAAAATGACCTCTCCAATGCGCCGACTAGACAAAATTTCCTTTCGGAAAACATACTGCGCTCTACACATCGGAGCGAGATTTCGTTTGGAAAAGTTGTTTACAGACAGAAAAAAAAAAAAAGGATAAAAAACTCCATCATATTATCGTAAAACCATTAGATCCCTGGCTACGCTTCCGGATCTAAAACGCGATAATTTCTTGTAACGTTTTCAAATAATTTAGGGCCGACGTTCCGCGCGTCGGCGACGGTACGGATAATTACGGCGTACCTCTGCCATCCCGTGAACTCGACCCGTTCGCCGTGCACGCGGTCGAGGTTCTCGGCCCGGAGTTTGCCCGTCACATAGTCGATGGCGTCCTCGAGGTTCGCGGTGCCAGCCAGCCGGGAGCCGAACGTGTCGGTGAACCGGGCGAGCTCGGCCCACGTGCGGCCCTTGTACGGCCCGTGCAGCACGTACTGCAAGACCCGGTTGACGATCGGCCGGTATCTGGAGACCTCGGCCCGCAGCGGTAACGCCAGCCGGCACCAGTCCGGCGACGAGGCCGTGGCGCACGGCGACGACGCCAGTGTCAGACACCACAGCGAAACGGCGACAACGAGACCCGGGCGCGCCATGGACGTAACGGTCGGGTTGTCTTTCGAGCCGGAAAACGCGCGTCGGAACGGTGGAAAAATGCGCGGGATAGAAACGGAAAAAAAAAACAAAAAGAAAAAAAAAAAAGAGTCTCCGCGTCAAGACACGGGCAGTCGTACGGCAATTCAGCTACCGACTGCCGACTGGATGACGGCGAGATGATCGTGTGCTGAACAGTAAACAAATGGTAATTATTTTTTTTACGGCGTGCCCGACAGGCATTATTACGGTCAACGATCATCACGCACGCATGCGCACCGTCCGCGCCGTCTGCCGTTATCGTTGTGTGGTGTTTTTTTTTTTTTTTTTATCTCTACATAATCGCTTTAACCGGAGCCCGTGACATTTTTCTTTTTTTTTTCGGCCTCACAAATGTAATAGTAATATTCATATAACATCTTATTACATTATTACCCCATCGTATCCGTGGCCTCCGCGACCGACGCGTTTAGCGGTTTGATAACAGCAGTTAGGCGCCTTTACACGGCGGGTGGGGTGATTTGGAGACGTGACGCCCGTCCCCGTTGTCGTTTTATTTCCACATAGTGCATACGCTAGACGACTTTGTGCGTAGATTTAGTGGAAAAAATCTTGCCCATAAGGAATAAAGGAAATTATTTGCCATTGACCCCCACCAAACAAAAGTTAAACGCCCACGCGGTCCGAATCGGACCGTGAGACTACTAGGGTTTTAAATGGCCAATCACCGGCATACTGTGTTTTCTGTATCTTACAAACGTGTGGCATTGCACATTTACGTTCAGCAGGGACGACATTGTCCTGTTAGTTTTAATAAAACAACGAATCGATCTGTTATTATCTGACTTAAAGATTCTTCGGGTATTTGTATTTGTGAACGATTCTTGGCATGTCTGTTTGATAAAATTAAATTGAAAAATTGTTTTCATAAAATTGCGATTGTAATAATTTTACCAGAATACTAACAATAATGAATTGTTTTTATTATTATTATTTTTTCTACTTACGATAAAAGTGGCAAAATATAACATTTAGAACGGTTTGCGTAGCATACTCTAACGGAGAAAAAACAATCCGTGTCGAGAGAATAGTTACTCAGCAGAAAGCGCTAGTGTATGATACATTTTGTTATGACTCATTGTTTGAAATACTTATTAAAAATGATTGTTTATTTTTTTCGACAAACCTATCATTAGATATTAATTTTTTCTCGGACATGATTTCATATACATGCCACATCATAGGTATAAGTGGATTGTTTGAAGAACCCCGTAGAGTCACAGAGGTATTTTATTGAAACCATCTTTTAAAATATTTTTTTCTCGTTTCGTAG